TAGGGGGGAGGAGGAGGAGGAGGAGGCATACAATTTAGAATAGGAAGCAGAAGTTGGAGACACAAGCAGGTCAGAATCCACAGGCCTTTAAAGCTGGCTGGTGAAGCCTGAGTTTTATCCGGAAGGAAATCTGTAGCCATGGGGAGTTCCCAGTGGGGAGCATCCTGATTAGTACCTGCTCAATGGAAAAACCGGAGGAAGAAGCCCAAGAATCCACAAACAGTCCTTTCCCAGGTGAAAACAGCTAGGGCAGCTGCAGTGGCTGGAAGATAGGCAGACGAAAGCTCTCTGAGTGGGGAGGAGGCGGCAAAGGTGAGGATTGGCAGGGCCACTCTCCAGCTAGTGTGGACCTGCCTGGACTCCAAGTGCTGCTGACTGCCCCTGTGTTCTGTGTCTACAGTGAAGGAGACTGGTGGGAGGCTCGGTCCCTGAGCTCCGGACACACTGGCTACATTCCCAGCAACTATGTGGCTCCTGTGGATTCCATCCAGGCTGAAGAGTGAGTGGGGTTGGGGCCAGCCCTGTGGAGAAAAGCCTAGTGTCTAACTTCCAAGGCCATCTCTTAGGAAATGACTGCCTCACCTCAGCCTGCTTCCCCATCTACAGTGTTAGAAGGTCATTGTAGAGCTAAAAGCAGATGGCAGCCAGCCGGCTGTGGTGCCGCGCGACTTTAATCCCACCCAGCCCTTGGGAGGCAAAGGCAGGACGATTTCTGAGTTTGAGGCCAGCCTGGTCTACAAAGTGAGTTCCAGGACAGTCAAGGCTAGTCAGAGAAACACCCTCCTTTCCCCCATCTTGAAAAAAAAAAAAAAAGATGGGGATGATGATGGTACCCTTAGATAATACCTTATGGCAGGTGCTGTGTTCTGTAACTGAGGAGTTTCTGTGTGATCAAGTTAGAAACTATTGTTTATTTTACAAATGAGGAAGCTAGCCAGGTGGTGGAGGAGCACATCTTTAATCCTAGCACGTGGGAGGGAGAGGCAGGTGGATCTCTCTGAGCTTGAAGTTAACCTAGTCTACACAGTGAGTTCCAGGCCAGCTACATAATGAGACTTTTTCATCAATTAAAAAGAAAAATGAGTGTGAGTTCAAGGCCAGCCTGGTCTAAAGTGCTAGGATAGGCTCCAAAGCCACACAGAGAAACCCTGTCTCGAAAATAAATAAATAAATAAAAGAAGAAGAAAAGAAAAATGAGGACGCTGAGGTACAGAGAAAACAAATACCCTCTCCAAATTTTCATAACTGGTAAGGTGTGGAGCTGGTGTGTGAACCCAGCTAGACACACACCACGTGCAAGCCAGGATACACCTTGCCTATCTGTAAGAGTAACATTATGTCAAAACTTATCTGTCTACCTATCTATCTCTCTTAGCAGAGAGAATGTAGATTTAAAGGAAGAGTGTGAAAGAATTTCTGAGAGTAGGAGGGAAGCCCCGGGATGTCTACCCATGAGCTTTCAAAGCTATAGAGGTGGGAACTAGAGAGATGGCCCAGCGATCCACAGTGGTTGCTGTCCTTCCAGGGTCTGGCATTTGGTTCCCAGCACCCAAGGCAGGTGACACCTCACAACCATTGATAACTCCAACTCTAGGGGAACTGACTCACACAAGCACATGTACAGCAAACACTCACACAGATGTACACACATAAACATAAATAATAATACAAATACATGTATAAATGTTAGACCCCCGAAAACTCAAGTATCCGGGGTCTCAGGCCAGGTTCTCGGTCACCCCAATCACCAGGCGGATTCGAGAGCTTGCTGCAAACTGCACGAGGCTTTATTGTAATTTAACGAACTAACCCCATGTTAGCTCGGGTCTTTCACCCACCCGCCATGGCAGACAGCTAGAAAAAGACGGCTCCTAAGGTCTCCCCAAAGATCTTATAGGGCAGCGTAAGGGGAGTGTCTAGGGGTATGCACAGGCTTAGGATTGGTGTGCTTCCAGGCTTGGAGGGCTTGCCCTGTGTTGATTGGTCAACTGGTTGTTATGGCTCATAGGCCCTCCCAGGGTGGTTGCTATGCTCTCTACGTCATTGCTGTGCGCTTGTCCGTAAAGCACACCCAGGGTCGTAAAGCATAGCGCCACCAGCTAACTTCCGATTGGTTCCTTGTCACAAGACAGGCATCTGACCTCTAAGTGACTAAGGTTCCTTGTCACGAGACAGGCATCTGACCTCTACGTGACCAAGGCAGGTTTATGGCAAGCACGTGTTCGGCTGTTATGGCTGCCGAAAGGAAGCTGGTTCCTTCATTACAACCTAAAAAGTGGAACTGGGGCACTGGGGATGTGCCTCACTTGTTAGAGTGTTTGTCTAGAAGGCATGAGGCCTTGGGTTTGATTTCCCAGCGCCATTCAGAATCAACCATGATGGCCCTTGTCTATAATCCCAGACTTTGGGAAGCCAAGGCTGGAGAATCAGAAGCTCAAGGTCATCCTTGACATAGTGAGTTTGAGGCCAGCCTGTAAGAAATGAGGTCCTGTCTCAAACAAAGCAAATAACCCACAAAAACAAAGCGAAACAGGATGGGAGAGATGGCTCAGCAGTTAGTGCATCCGAATGGTGACTTACAGCTATAACTCCAGTGCCAGGGGATCTGACACCCTCTTCTGGCCTCTGCAGACACCAGGCATGAATGTGGTCCCTGGACATACAAGCAGGCAAAACACTCATACACATAAATTTAAGTCTAAAAAGAAAACTAGTAGAACTGGGGGTATAGTTCAGTGGCACAGTGCATATTGAGTGTGAAGAAGGCTTGCAAGGGAACAATTCTTAAAGGTAATTTTATTAAGTAGACAGAGAGGAGCTGGAGTGTAGCTTAACATGTGCAAGGCCCTAGATTCCATCTTTAGTGCTCTCTCCCTCCACCGCAAAAAAAGCTATCACTATGATGTGTCCCACACATTTGTGAAAACAAGTGATGAAAGAGACTTTGAAGAACTAGGCTGGGCATGGTGGCACATGCCTGTAATCCTGGCATTTGTAGTGAATTTGAGGATAGCCTGTGCTACTTGAGACTTTTCTCCAAAAAATCCAATCCAAAACCAGAATGGAAGTCCTCAGGACTTGGCGATTGGTTTGCAGTTGGACTGTGGGGAGCGAGAGGAATTGGGGGTTATCCAGGATCTTTTGAAGAAGCAAGTTGAATGAGGTGCCAGGTACTAAAATGGGGGACACCAGAGCAGGTGGAGGTGCAGGTGGGCTCCAAGGGGGATCGTTGTTCTGAGGATCACCCAGGTAAAGGAAGCTGCCAGAAGCTAGACCAGGCTGTGCTGCGCGTGAGATGCACCTGGCCACGCCACTACACTAGCCCAGAGCAAGGGGCACCTGTTCCTAATTGTCTCTGTCATTTGTTCCCTGTAGCCCTGGCAAATGGCACACCTGTGCTGGTGGGAACTGGACCTCACCTGGGTAGAGATGACAATTAACTGCTCGGTAGGATAAAGGGGAAGGGGGGGCAGACAGACAGACAGAGTGGTCCTAGGACCTGGCTCTGGGGGTGACACCTTAGAGAAGAAAAGAGCACCTAGAGAAGCAAGGAAATCAGACCAGGCCAATGTAGAACATCCAGGACTAGAGGAAAAATTCCTGAAAACAGGGCTGTGTGAGGCTGCCCTCGTCCTTGGCGATGGGGTGACCTTCATACGAATCTTGTCTCCTGGGAAGTAAAAGCGAGGCCTGACAGCAGAGTCCAGGAAGGAGGGAGAGAGAGAAAGTGGAGGAAGAGTAATTGACCCAGGAGGGGAAATGTGGTCTAAGCGAAGGCAAGGTGAGAAGCCAGGGCAAACATGCCGAAGACGGCTTAGCAGCTAAAGGCTCTTGCTGTCAAGCCTGACAACCTGAGTTTGATCTCCAGAAACCCCACGTGGTGAAAGGAGAAAGCCAACGTGCATGGGTTTTCCTCTGCTTTTCACTCCTTTGTTATAGCATGCATACATACATGTGCACACAAAATAAATACATAAAATGCAGTAAGTTTCTTGTTTAAAAAAAAAAAGCAGGGGACTGTAGAGAAGGCTCAGCATTTAAGAGCACCAGCTACTCTTCCAGAGGACCCGGGTTTGGTTCCCAGCACCTCCCTGGTGACAACTCTCATTAACTCCAGTTCTGGGGACTCTGGTGCCCCCTTCTGGCATCCATGGACACTTGCGCTCACATGCGTGTGCACATGCGGTAATTCAAAATAAATAAATCTTTAAAACACAGCAGCAATGTAGCATCAGAACTTCCCTCTAGGAAGGAAGAAGGTATGTGTGTTTAGAATTTGATGGATGGACAGTTTCAGGGGTCATTCATGGGGTGAGGTGGGATTTCTTGAGCAGAGGGACACGGGCAAGTCCAGTGCATAAGCGGGATGAGGCCATATTGTGGAGAGAGTGGCAGGAAGCATGAAGGAGGAACGGATAATGGGCGACGATGCCAAGGACCGGGGGTTGGGGTACGTCCTGTTGTCCACAGCTTGGGCAGCATGCTGACATCCAAAGTGCTCGGTGCCATGTCATGATTGAGAGTAGACAATTGGGTTCCTGTTTTGGAGTCACAGTATGGCCTCCGGCAAGTTGCTTAACTACTAAGTAGTTGGTTCAATTTCCTTCTCTGTCTTATGAGCTGAAACATGGCACATTCCTCTGAACATTATTAGGAAGTACATGTATGTGTAGGGTCCATGTCCACCACAGAAAGAGTGCCCAGCCTATTTAAAGTCTGTTTTTTATTTTGAAGCAGGTCTTGCTATGTAGCTCAAGCTGCCTCACACTCAGGATCTCAGCCTCCTCAGTGCTGACCTACTTAGTTGACCCTTAAGGAAGTTAATAATGTCATGGCTGGGGGTGGAGGTGGCTTTGGAAAACTCTGGCCGTGAGTCTGCTACAGAGTCCTTCAGTCTTTTCTCCTTCTTGCTGTCTGCCCTCCTAGGCACACCATTTGCCAAGAGCTCTTCCTGTCTCCCAGATTTGCCTAGTAGCCAGGTACAGACTGAGCATGCCAGAGTTCCCAGGTGTTTCCATCCCCCTCAATTTGAAAGCTGTGTTCCTTCTATTGAGCCCATGTGGCACAGTCACTTTAGCCATCAGTGAGATGACAGCGGAATCTTCTACAGCATGTGTGGTCACTTCAGGCACATACCCCCATGAACTTGCACAGTTGGGTCTGAGCTACAGTTCAGTCACAGGAAACATCAATGGGGGAAGAATCAGGGGATTGGGTGTGGCGGGAAAGAACTAGGGTGGGTGAGGACTTTAGGTGGTCCATGTCAGCTCGCCTGGTGGGTAAGTCAGTTCCCTTCTGAGCCTTGAGTGCCTCCTCTGTAAACTGGGTTGTGAAGAGTTCTAGTGGGATGAGTTAAGGACCCTGTGGCAGTAACTATGAGGTCATTGATGACGAGGTTTTACCAATTTGGTTGTTTGAGACAGGGTCTCACTATGTAACCTTGGCTGGTTTGGAACATCTGCCTGCCTGTGCCTCCTGAGTGCTGGGATTACACACATTTTTATTTTTAAGGTAGGGTCTCACTACGTAGCCCTGACTGGCCTAGACCTTGTTGTTTTAATTTTAATTCAAGAGACGCCAGTGGTTAGAAAAGAGGATGGTGGTCTTTTTAGGCATCTCCTGCGTGTGTCAGCCACTTTCTCATCTCCCTTCTCTGTGGTCCTTATACCATCACGCAGACTGTAACAGCCCATTTCTCAGGTCAGGAAATTGAGGCTTGTGAGATGACTTCCCAGGAAGATGGACTGGGGTTTGAAGAGAATGTGCCTGACTCTGCCTGCCTCTCCTCACAGGTGGTACTTTGGAAAGATCAGCAGGAAGGATGCAGAGAGGCAGCTTCTCTCAGCTGGCAACCCTCAGGGGGCCTTCCTCATTCGGGAGAGTGAAACAACCAAAGGTGCATTTTTAGTAGTTACTTCATGCCATCTGCCATTCTGGCCAGTGGGGCAGTGCTTGGGTCCCGGCTAAGGGGCAAAGCTAAAGTAGGCTCTGGGAATTTGCCTTTGGTGCCTCTTCCTGCTCTTAGTCTGAGGGACAGGAGGACTAAGTGACCCTTCCCACACAGGTGCCTACTCCCTGTCCATCCGTGACTGGGACCAGAACAGAGGTGACCACATAAAGCATTATAAGATCCGAAAGCTGGATACCGGTGGCTACTACATCACTACACGGGCCCAGTTCGAATCCGTGCAGGACCTGGTGCGGCACTACATGGGTGAGCTACTCCAGGAGACGGTGTGTTGTCATGATGGAGATACTAACCCCTAGAGGATGAAGTGATCTCCCAAAGCAGTACTGGCTGGACCAAGTGTGCATGTCTCCAGGCCAGGATCCTGCTCCGTGTAGATCCTGAGGGAACTGAGGCCACAAGTGGCAAAGACAAAGCAGTGCCTCCTAATGTTCAAGGCTAGGTCCTTGCTTCCAGATCTAAGCCGGTGGGAACGTTTTAAAAAGTTACATTTTATTTACTTGTGGGAAGGGTTCATGACTGGATGCATGCCAGAGTGTGGGTGTGGAAGTCAGAGGACAACTTGTGGAACTTTGTTCTCTCTTTCAACCAAGTGGGTCCTGGGGATGAAACTCAGGTCATCAGGTTTGGCCTTAGCCACTTGCCTGATGAGCCATCTTGCTGGCTCCAGTCTATGGAAACTTTGTGGGGGTCTTTGTTGTTCTCTCTCTCTCTCTTTCTGGATGCTGTGTGGAAGTCAAAGGACAACTTACAGAAGCTCGTCCTTTCCTTCCACCATATGGTTCTCAGAGATCAAACCTTTATCTGCTCAGCGTCCTTGCTGGCCCTGTTGTATTTCCTAGGCAGAGTCACCATCTTAGGCTCTAAGCCAATGGTTCTCACCTGTCCTAATGCTGGGGCCCTTTAATACAGTTCCTCATGTTGTGATGACCCCCCCAACCATAAAATTATTTTTGTTGCTACTTCATAACTGTAAGTTTGCTACTATGAATTGTAATGTAAATATCTGATATGTAGGATGTCTGATATGCAGGATGCAACTTCTGTGAAGTTATGGCTCAACCCCCCCCCCCCAAAGGGGTTGAGATACAGGTTGGGAACGAAAAGGGGTTGTAACCCATAAGTTGAGAACAACTGCTCCAAGCAGTGGATTGCAGAAGGTGGTCTGAACTTTGAGATTCTCTGGATGCCAGGGACAAGGCGGAAGGAGAGGTCCCTGGGCTGCTGTGGTCATTGACCAGGCAATGGTAGTGGCCAGATGGAAGCAGTGACTGCACAGACAAGCAGAAGCCAATGACTGAAGCAGAACAGGCGGCAGCGTAGACCTGACCAGATGGAGGCCTGGCTGTGGGATTAAGCAATGGTGCTCCACTCAGGTCTAAAACCCAAGTATGGAGACCAGGCCACATCATTGCCTATGTTTCCATCTTGAGCCCTTAGGCCCAGGATGAGGTCCATGAAGAAAGGGCTGCAGGTCCACAGTTTTGCCTCCATTTTCGCCTGTCAGTCAGAACCAGTGCTTATCCTGAAAGGCCCTGCTGGAGGCTGCCTCCTAGGAAGAGCCATGAAGTTTCCATGGGGATCGTTTCAACTTCTCTATGCCATCCTCTTCCTTGGACACCAACAAGTTTGCCTACTCAGAGGCCTGAATTGCCTTCTTCCTTAACTGTGACCTAAACTATGTATTAGTTACTCAAAAAAAAAAATTTTTTTTTTTTTTTAAATCCTGGCTTGTGAAGGCAAACTACTTTTGTTCGGTTTGTTTTTTGTTTGTTTGTTTTTGTTTTGTTTTTACTCTGTAACCTAGGCTGGCACCAAACTCATTACAAGCCTCCTTCCTCAACCTACTGAGTGCTGGAATTACAGACATGAACTGCCATGTTCCGTTAGGGCCCAGTTATTTATAGCCACGCTTAGGGTCTGATGCTGGGTTGTGTGAGGATTTCGGGGAGAGTTATCATATCCTCCATCTGTGACGCTTTCCATCCGCCCTTCCTCCAGAAGTGAATGATGGTCTGTGCTACTTGCTCACGGCGCCCTGTACCACCATGAAGCCCCAGACGCTGGGCCTGGCCAAGGATGCCTGGGAGATCAACCGCAGCTCCATAGCGCTTGAACGCAGGCTGGGCACCGGCTGCTT